ACGGGTAAAAGTTGTTGAAATTTGCTATCTAATAAAAGGATCGGTTGGCAGGTTGGCCTTAGCTGAAATTTGGGTGGTAATGTTCCTCAGCTTCTCAACAACATTTCACAGGTAGTTTCTTGAATGCTCATCTCTTCCTATAGTTCGTATCAGCAGGAGAACAGGAACCGTTAGGTTTTCGGACACAGATAAAAAGTTCCTGGTCTTTTGAAAAGCATAATTTTGGGTATATATAGAAACACAATTCCTTTTCATTGACGAGAAACTTTGCACGACTTCAGACAAACTTTCTAAACGTGGTTTTACGTTGGTGCATCAGTTATAGTTAGTTACGGTCTTTGAAACTCATTACAAGTGAAGATATAAAGCTGCATCTGCCGTCCCGTGTGTCCTCTAGTTTTCCTCCACTTGCGTTGCATTGACTATGATAATTAATGTATTGTGCAACTGTTTTAGCTCCAGGTTTGCTTGTATCATGGAAAGTGTGGATCATTGAGGGTTTTGTTATGAGCATACATTTGGAGCTCTACACAGTTGGTTCAGAAGTTCTGGTGAATGGCTGAATGTAAGTCTCTCTGCTTATCGGGAGTTTTTTTTCATATGTGATATTCTCAATTTGCCCATATCCATATTTAACCTTAAGCTCTCTTCATCATTAGCCAAACTGAAATCGGAGGTGGTGGAGTGGTTAAATTGCATGCTCCCCAATATAAATTTGCCACTTGATGCTTCAGACGAGGAATTGAAAGCATGCTTGATTGATGGAACCGTTCTATGCAGCATGTTGGATAAACTATGCCCTGGTGTAGTTCAGGTTGTAAGACATATATTGGCCTTTGTTTATAACTTTTCTGCTCTTATATATATATTTTTCCTCATAATAATTTCCTCATTTGAAAATTGTTTTAATGTTGATTCCACAAGTTTATTTTTCTCTTTGCTGTTTTTCTTTCTTAATTTTTAGGGAGACAATTCTAAGCCCATCGATCCTAATATTGAGAGATTTTTGATAACTCTGGATGAATTAGGACTTCCTGGCTTCGAACCATCTGTCTTGGAGCAGGTATTTACACTCTTTTGGTGCAATGCAATTGTGACAGTATGTACCTTTACTTTCTGCCAAATTGACCATAAAAAGTAAGAGAATACTCAACTTTTATTTCATGCTTAGTTGAGTGAGTCTATCTTAACTTTAAATTTTTATTTCATCAAATTCAACTTTAAGTGGTGAAAATTAATATGTTATCTAGAACCAATTAACATGAACATTACCAAAAATCAACCAATAATAGTACCTAAAATCTAGCCACAAGAATGCCCAACAGAACCAGCAAATTACCCAAACCCAACCATAAAATCAAATGGTCAAAAAAGCTCGGAGTCAACACTTAGATTCTCTAACTCAGCTAACACAAATGGCTATCACAGTCACAAAAATCAACCTAGAAGAGTAGTCTTTTCCAGCCATAAGAATGTTCATTAACTAATAGAATGTATATTAATTTCATCATTTCAAACTCAAAATTTAATTTGATGAAATTAAAAAATGAACTATCTAAAAGAAAAATGTAGTATTGTGTGATGAACTTGTGCTCCTTTGCAATAGTTACCTTGGTGTAATCTGACTTGGATTTTGTACTCAATCATCCATTCCTGCCTAAAACATGTAATTATTTCGTTTCATCATTTATCACAATTATTTTTCACTTGCAAACAAGACCTTAGTTCAGTTATGAATTTAGGCCAAACTAATCAATTTGGTTGGTAATCTTTGTCCGTTCATGTTATTTTGAAATCCTTTATTATCTATTCTTAGATTGAAAAGTGAACAGAGGTTATTTGCAGGGATCTATTGCACCCGTTTTACACTGCCTAAGCACACTTCAATCTTCTTTTGATTTGAGTGCTGGGGATGAGGACACTCAAATTTATTCACGAAAGAAATGGAACTTACATGAAGTAGAATCATTAGATGGAATCAATAATTTCTCCGGGCTAAGATTTCAGGATTTTCAGAATGGTTCTGTTATATCAGGTATGGTTACAAGACCATTAGGAGAATTTAAATTGTGCAAAGATTTTATTCAAAATACATTATAAAGCTTATTTATGGTTGATTTTGTTCTCGATCTTTGAAAGATAATTCTTCTTGAATCTTAAGGAAATTTTCCCCAATAACAAAATTTAGCTCCGTCATCTAAAAGCTTGAAGTTACATGATATTTGTCATGGATGTGGTTTTCTGTAAGAACTCCCCTGTAGGGTGTTTAGTTTTGCAGTTACACTTGGTCTATAAAGATTGTGTGCAAGACTTTACCAGCTTGTAGCTTTTAAATTATCAATGAAAAGTGTTACTTGTTTCAAAAAAAAGATATTTGATTTGTCTCTTGCATCAGTCTTTTCTAATAAGAATTTCTTCCATCAGTTTCAGCTGATAAGATTCATCATTCAGCCATATTTAAAGAATTTTGACATTAAATAGGTCAAGTGCCATAACAATCATAGAGTGCCAAGTATGTAAAAGATATCTGTCAATTGTTTTTTGAATTAGAGGGAATGATAAGCTGCGCTCGACGCTTTGCAAAGTCTTGCTTGATGTTTTTCCTGCTGAAAGCGGTTCTTTTTTTATTTGTGGCTTGCTTGAGTGAGTATCCGCTGAAAACTATTTCATTCAACTTTATTAATGTGCTCAAAGGAAGCTCTGCATCCGATTCAATGATGGCCCACTTTATGCTGTTATGAACCTCGTCAGTTATCTGAGTTCCAGATGCTTGAACGGTTTCCTATTAGCATATTTGAACAAATTTTGTGTGGTGTGCCCAATACCTACTTTTAGGGAATAAAGTGAGATTTTATTATTGTCATTATTATTTTTGTATTCAGTGATGAAGATGTGAAATCCTTATCCCACTCTGAGCGTGTTTGTTGGGGGAAACTAATCATGTTTCCCAAGTTCATTCCACAAAGCGGGGAAGGGGGGCAGCGTATCATTCCCTATAAATTCAAGTAGCAATTGACCGACCATGTAATTGGAAAAACAATCAGCATGCAGTATATTTGATTATCACTTGCAACTTATGTGTTAAAAATAGTTTTCTTTGCTGTCGCAATAATAGCTTGGTTGAAAAAGGCTTTAGACACTATAAATATTAAATGACATATCTCAGAAATTAAATATATGGTTTATAGTGCGTATGTATGGCTTTGACCGTGATATTTGTGATCTTTTGGATGCTTGTGCAAAACAGGATAGTGCTGTATAAGTATAACAAGCATACAGTACTATCTTCTATTGACTTAACTCTTATAGTATCGGGTGAAGTTTGGTGGGGGTCACAGTTTTCCAGATTTGTCATGTTTCCTAATATTCATAATGCTATTTGTCTTATTCTATTATTTTCTTGTTCGTTTGTTCTAGTGCCATCATATGGACTAAAAAGTGATATTCCATTTGAGGATCATGAAGGGTTCATGTTGAAGCAAGAGCAAAATCATGATGTTTCTGGTACTAATGTCTTGGAGTTGATAAATTCACAGAATTTTGAGGTAACACCCTTGAACCAAATTTATTTGTTTGTTCAAATCAATGGCTTGTTTTGTTTCATTTCTCAAGTATTTCTGTGATTATTTTATGCAGAATATCTCTACTCAATCACTCTTCAATGTGATCAATGGAATTCTGGATGGCAGTATTGAAACAAAAAATGGAGATGTGTCTCATGTATGGGGAGTGATATATTCTTCTGCTACAAGCATCTGAAATTTCAACCCAAAAAATTAAAACATTATACATGGCCGTATTTTTATAGACAGCGTTCAGTTTACTAGTATTTCTAACTTTGCTTTTGTTGGTTTAAATTTCTCTCAGCAAGTAGCATATATTCTGAGAAAAGTTGTACAAGTGCTCGAGCAGAGAATTTTCACTCATGCTGGAAACTTGAAACACGTAATCTTGCTTAGTATAATTCTGAACTTGGGAGAGTACTCTAACTTACACAGTCAATAGAAATTAACCGCAGTCACCTTGAATTTGTGCAGCAAAGCAGTCTTTTGAAAGCTCGCGAGGAGAAATTTCAATCAAAAATAAAAGTTCTTGAAACCCTTGCAACAGGGACCACTGAAGAAAATGAGGTACTTTGACAAACATCCAAATGTCCAAGTCTTTGCTTTTGGTTTAGAAATTAAAATTCTGGTTTTAATTATTTGGTCCTGGATATAAGTTGTTGCTGTTACTTTTGTAGGTTGTTATGAATCAGCTTCAGCGTATGAAGGTAGAATATTTATCTCATGCCTTTCCTCTGGGCAACATCTCAAGCACGTTTGTATTTTTGCTACCTCACTTATTATGGTGGGTTTTTATCAGGATCAAGCCATTTAAATGAAATGGCCTCCACTCTGCCTTGCCTTTACTGTTTACTTTCTTATTTTAGCAGGGCACTAATTTTTTAGTCATAGAATTTGATGCAGATGTTCTTTTCATTCCAAAACTTGGTAGCTTCCTTGCTTCACAGGATTCTATCATGAAGGAACTACAGTAACTAAATACTAATGAAAAAGTTTTAAGTAACTATAACGTTGAATCAATGACGATTGTTGATATCGGTTCTCATGTATGCTATGGTTTGCCTGCTAGTTTCTCTTTCTTTCACCTAGGATGAAATACATTATACATGATCGTTTCGAGTCGTTTTGAAGCTTTTGATGACCAACTCATTATGCCATGAACAAGTTTGCTGAATACATTTTGGCTGCTTCTAGTTTTAAACTTTGCTCAATTGAACCAACCAGTTAGTTCCATGGGTTGTGTATATGAAATTTGGTTGTCTGGAGAAAAATCATTGAAGCTATGCATTACTGCATATCTACGAGGAATCTTTGTACAGTTTATTCTCAGACTGGGACTCTCACAGTACACCTTAAAATCAAGAGTGATTCTTGAGTTTGGGAAGAAAAACGACCTCATTCTGGCCCCCACTGTATTTCTATTTATTTCAATATTTGGTCGATGATCATGCACCAAATTTAAGTTCTTTATAAATCATTGATAATGCACCTTATTTTAATATTTGTTCCAATCCATGTAATATTACTCCCTTTCTTACATTTCTTTATTTTTATTCTCTTCTAAACCCATTCCAAGTTAGCAAACAGGACCTAAATTGATAAAGTGATGACAATACTACTATTTATTTATCATTGCCTTACAAGCAGCATTTAAGTTTTGCCCTAGTTTCTCAGTCCTGTTTATAACATGTTAACATTCAATTATTTGGTGTTGAAGATTGAAAAATTCAGAATAGAGGAGATGAAAAAATGTGGGGAGCAGGATATGATGTCACTGAAGGAGCGTAAAGAACTCTGTGATGTCGCGATTTTAAATCTTAAAGATGAGCTAGAAATGGCCAGGAGGGAACATGAAAACCATTGCTTGCAACTAGAAACAAATGCCAAGGAAGAGAAAGCTAAGCTAGAGGCAAAACTAAATGAACTAGAATACTTACTAGCGGATTCCGGAAAGAGGGTGAAGGAACTTGAGTCATTTTCTGAATCTAAATCACTGAAATGGAAAAAGAAAGAGTTCGTCTATCAAAATTTTGTTGATCACCTGCTTGGAGCTCTTCAGGTATGTGTCCTGTCTTCCGTAATGTTATTAGCTATAGGGCCCATGCCATATTAATTACAGGTACGACTTTTTATTATTTGTAGGGATTAAGGATTTCTGTGGAGTCCATCAAACATGAGGTCTTGGATACGAAAAGAAACTATGCTGAGGATTTCAATTACCTTGGTAGGTTTAGTTTCAACTGAACGCCAGTTTTTTGTATTTTGTTATTCAATGAGCGTTTTTTTTGTTCTCAATGATGTTGCCATTAATAGGAATGAACTTCAAAGGATTAGCAGATGTGGCTCAGAATTACCATGCAGTTCTGAATGAAAATAGGAGATTGTATAACGAGGTTCAGGATTTAAAAGGTATCATTTTTATTTTCTTTTTTGTGTACTTGATCTCTCTCAACTAATATATGCCATTTCACAGGGAACATTCGAGTATATTGTCGAATACGGCCATTCCTTCCAGGGCAAACTAAGAAGCTAACTACAATTGAATATATTGGTGAAAATGGTGAATTGGTAATTATAAATCCCGCTAAACAAGGAAAGGACAATCGTAGACTATTCAAGTTCAATAAAGTTTTTGGTCCGACTTGTTCACAAGGTATTCGTATTCCTATCCAGTTTTGGTAAATTATAGATTAATTACGATACTCTATTATGTCATTCATATTTATAATTTATCAGATGCTTCTATTAAGTGGTTTAATTAGGAAGAAAATATTTTCTGACTTCCTTTACATCTAATTATTTGTGTTGATTGACAGAGGAGGTGTTTTTAGACACTCAACCATTGGTTCGGTCTGTCCTTGATGGATATAATGTTTGCATATTTGCTTATGGACAAACTGGTTCGGGAAAGACCTATACTATGGTATGCAATATGTTCATATTTCTGACACCATATTTCTACTTTGTTCATTGTGGTTTATACATGTTATTGTTTCTCAGAGTGGGCCCGATGTATCATTGAAAGCAGAATGGGGTGTCAATTACCGAGCATTAAATGACCTCTTCGAAATTTCTCAAAGCAGGAAGAGCTCTATTACCTATGAAATTGGTGTCCAAATGGTTGAGATATATAATGAACAAGTCCGTGATCTGCTCTCAAGTGGTGGTCTTCCAAAGAGATATCCTACTTTGAATGTGTTGTTAAATTTCCATATATGTTTTCTTAGAAAAAGAAAAAACTTATCATTCAACCCAAAAGATAATTACACAATGGGAAGAAGGGAAACCTCTCAACTAGCTCATAGAGTTATAAAAAAAAACTCTTCTATTGATTTGCTTATGAAAAAATAAATAATCACAAAAAGACTTGGAAATAGTACTCCATCCAGATACCTAAAAAATAGCTCTTTAGAAGTTTTCTTGAATAGTAGCGAATGAATTCTTGAAAGATTTCGTGTTTCTTCCTACCCAGATTGCCCACATCACCACACTGACCCAAAACCTACAAGAAAAATTTTCTTTCATCTGTAAAGTTCAAACCTAACAAACCTTGGACCCAAAAGTCTTGAACAGATGAGAGACCATACCCCAGTCCACTGAAGAAGCTTGAAACAAATGTTCCTCAAAGAAGTTGCAATGGGGCAATGCACAAATAAATTATCTAATGTCTTCCTTCTTTGTCAACGAAGAATACACTCAGGGGGAAAATAAAGCAACGTTTAGATTGTTAACCATGAGTTGTTTTGTTTATTACTAATTTTATTTTCAATTTCTTATTTAATCAATCAATTCATTATTCTGCCTTTCCAAGCCATTTTTTGATTTAGTTAAGCATAAGCAAAGTCTCGATTTGATCTTTTTGATTGTAAAAGAACTTTATTTCCTTTGACTTGCACACACTTGGGATTTGGAACACCACTCAACCAAATGGGCTGGCCGTACCCGATGCTGGCATGCATCCTGTTAGATCTACTGCTGATGTCCTAGATTTGATGAAGATTGGATTGACAAACAGGGCAGTTGGAGCCACAGCCCTGAATGAAAGAAGCAGCAGATCTCATAGGTAGTATTCTAAATATGTCATTGCATATCATTCATCTTCATGCTTTATTGTGAAGAATATATTTCATGCAATTACTGATGCCATGCAGTGTGCTGACAATTCATGTTCGTGGTGTGGACTTGGAGACAGACGCTATCTTGCGTGGTAGTCTTCATTTAATAGATCTCGCTGGTAGTGAAAGGGTGGACCGCTCGGAGGCAACTGGAGATAGGCTGAAGGAGGCACAACATATAAATAAATCATTGTCAGCTCTTGGGGATGTCATTTTTGCTCTTGCGCAAAAGAGTTCGCACATTCCTTATAGAAATAGCAAACTAACCCAAGTTCTGCAAAGTTCTTTAGGTGCTTCCTCGTTTTTGTGTTTGATTGGACCTCTATTTCTCTTATTTTCTGATAACATCGAGTTCGTCACGGTTTTGTTTTATTTTCACTTAGGTGGTCAAGCAAAAACACTCATGTTTGTACAAATTAATCCCGATGCTGAATCCTACTCTGAAACTGTAAGCACTTTGAAGTTTGCAGAAAGAGTTTCTGGTGTCGAGTTGGGTGCTGCACGCAGCAATAAAGAGGGTAGATATGTTAGAGAACTCATGGAGCAGGTTTGATGTCTTTTATTCTCTTCTCTAATATTTATTTTTTATATTAAACAGTTTTTGAGTTATTGAACTGCACTAATTTCTCCTTAATATCTTGATTGGAAATGAAGTTTTACCGATTATAATTGTGTGCGCGGACAGAATACACAGTTACATCAGTGATCAGATATGCCATCCTCTGATTTTTTGTCGACATTGCAGGTGGCAGCTCTCAAGGATACTATTGCAAATAAAGACGAGGAGATTGAGCGGTTGCAGTCGCTTAAAGCTAATGGCAACGTCTTAAAGCATGTCGTTAGTTCCGTACGGTATGGATCATCTTCTCCTAGAAGGTCCTCTAGTGGAACTCCTCGGCAAAGCCAAAGGCCATCAGGGAGAAAAGGCTTAGGGTTGGTTAATAAAGCAGCATCTGACATGGACAATTACTCAGATAGTGATAGGCGTTCTGAATCTGGATCACACCTGTCTGTAGAGGACTTTAGACATCATAAGTGTTCTGGATCTGGATCGCATCTGTCCATAGAGGACTTTAGACGTCATAAGCGTACAGGGTCAGGATCACATTTGTCTGTGGAGGACTTTAGACATCAGAAGGAATCTTCTTCCCTGTCAAGGGCTGTAGAAGGAGGGTGTGTAGGTCAGAATGTCACTGATGATGTTGACCTTTTAGGCTTTGGGAATGGTGATTCTGATGAGAGATTAAGTGACATATCCGATGGCGGTCTTTCGATGGGGACTGAAACTGATGGGTCAATTTGCAGTTTTGTGGAATACACTCTATTCCCTGAATATTTGAAGTCAGCAGAAGGTTTAATTGCTGATACCAAATACCCTGAGAGCACGTTGGACGTAAAAAGGCTAGCTGAGAATGCAACATCTGGGAAGTCATTGGTTCCTATTCCAGAAAAGTAAGTAACTTCTATTCTCTCTTAAACATCTATGGACATCCTTGTACTTCGGTAGACTTTAGGTTCATCTTACTAATCTCTAGGGAGACCTTACCCACCCCAGTGCTAATTCTGGAAGATAACAAGTGTTGTTTACGACCCGGGATTTAACATCTCAAGCCTTCACACCACCAACATGATCTCCCTTGGGGTCTATGACCTCCTAATTTCAGAATAGTATGTTTTTTATAGTCGATAACATTTAAGATTTGTTATCTCCTCTTTCATTTTATGATTAAACTTTTCTCTTGGTATAGTGAAGTATAGTCGATACCATGTGATTTGTTTGGACATGCTTGGATGTGCTGTTAACTCTTCCACACCTTGGCTGATTAAATATATTTAACATTCATCCTCTGTTTACTGGTTTTTGCAGAACCAATGCCTCATTGAAGGCAGCCCCCAAGCCTCCACAAAAGCCTGTGCAAGCAAGACCATCACGAGTTTCGTTGACGAAAAGCTCCTCGAAGGTTTCATCAGCATCGACAAGTATGTGAATCTAAACACCATTTCAATTTCACTACAATGTTTTCAATGTTATTTCCCTTATGTGTTTTCTTTTTCTTTTTGTTGATAAGATGCCAAACTTTTCATTGATAAAATGAAAAGTAGTACAAAAGGAGACCAAAGGAGATTACAAAAAAGCTCTCCAATGTCTGCTACAACCAAAAGAATTATAACTACTAAAGAGAGTGGAAAGGGTGCACCATCTTGAGGTATTCAATTGATTATTTCCCTTATGCCATTATTCAGCTCTCCTGATTTCACATTATACAACTTGCATCATTACCAAGTCCTTGTCAAATGATTTTCTTTTGGTTAAACTATAATTTTAGTTGTTTTACTTTTGTCACTTTTAATATTTTAGTCGATTATACAGCTTGAATCGTTACCAAGTCCTTGTTAAACGATATTCCTTTGGTTAAACTATAATTTTAGTTGTTTTACTTTTGACACTTCTAACATTTTAGTCGTTTTAGGACTCAACATCAATAATCTAGCTTATTAAAAGATGTGTCATTTTATTGAAACCAACCCGGTGCTAGCTCAGCTTTTCATATGTAGTCACCAATGTTGTTAAACTTGTACAATTCACAAATTGTATTATATGAGTGAGAACGACTCGCTTGCTCCACAATCCAGTTCGAGCAGTCACTTTTACATGGTGTCATGCCAGCTTTGTGTTACTATTTACCTAGATTATAGACTCCAGTGACTAATTTAGCGTTTTTGCTTTTTCATGTTCTCCTTGCTCACTTTTCCTTCTCCGTTTTGATGCAAATCAGGTACCAGAAAATCTAATGTCGATAGCTCCTCATTGATGAAAAGCAGGAAAGGGTGGCAGTGAATCAATCTAAAAGTGATCTGGGTAGAAGAATTCTTGAGCCTAATGCTTATTTTGTGTAGTTCTTGGTAGCAGTTCTAACTTCACACTTCTAGTTTGTGGCTCATCCATAGGTTGCCTTTTGCCTTTCTAATTGGAATCTCATGTTTTCTTTCCTTTTGTTGTATATTTGTGTGCCAAAGGGTAGCTAATACATGTTCACTTTGTAGCTATTGGTCAAACTCTATCTAAAATTTGTCCCCCTTTCTCCCCAAATTGTCTCTATAAAATCTTGGTTGACTATTTTCCCTCTCTTTCTAACCTATTTTCTCTCTATTTTTTTTTTGCCACTCTTTCTAATTTTTTCATCTCTTTTTCTAATGTTTTTTTCTCTCTTAAATTTTAGACACAGACGTGAAATTTTGGAGATTTATAAGAAATTTTTTAAAATAATAAGGTGAAATAGACATGACCTCAAAAGTTAGGGACCTATTATTAAGTTTGTTTTAAAATGATGGGATTTAATAGATACAATCGAAGTTACGAAACTTGTATTTGAATGTCTTTTTAATTTAAAATAATTTGTACTATATTAAATATTATAATATGCTTTGAAATGATTTGTAGGATAATATCTCTTCAATCCTTAAATATTTATAATATCTGAACAAGAAATAAATAAAGTTATGAAAAACCATTAAAAAAATTTAACTTCATAATTGTTACAAAACAAAAAAGCAATAAAATAAAAAGACATTTTTTTTACTCAAAATAAGAAGACATTTACAGCACAAAATAAATATGTAATTTCAAATATGTCATAATGACATAAATTTCAAATTTATACGATCACATGAAACTAACAAAAAACTACTTTTTGACATTTTTTTTTAAAAACACAGAAAGTAACAATATTTTTCTAAATACATATTTATTTGGTATTTAGTATAATTTTCCTTAAATTTTTTAATTCAAAATTAATTTCTTCAAAATACAACATTAATAAAATTCATCTAAAATTCTGTCCTTCAAAATTTCTAGAAATAGTTTACTAACGGAAGAACATTCATGTATCAACGAAATTTATATGTTATATACACACACATTAGAAACTGTAGAAATTTTTCGGTGGTAATTAGTATATATCTTCAAAAGTTAATGAGTTATATCTCACTACATATTGTACTTAAAAAAAATAAACTATAGAAATTTATGTTTTTGTAACAAAATTCAATTCTATATTATTACTTTTAAATTATTATAAATTTAACAGCACATCTTGTCTGGGTGGTGTAGTTGGTAATCACGCTAGTCTCACACACTAGAGGTCCCCGGTTCGAACCCGGGCTCAGACAAATTTTTTGTTTCCTTTATCTATTAGTGAAATAAACTTATAATTCAACTTTTTTTTTTAATTCAATTATACTATTTATTATCAATAATATCTACGATAAATCAATCAAACTTCTGACCTTCAAAACCTAATCATAAAGATGAAATTAAAAAGACAAGATTGAAAATTTTGAAACAAGACCAAATAAAAATTAAGGCGGATAATAATTTCATTTTTAGTTTTTTATTTTTAAAAGTTATGTTTGTTTAATTTTTTTAAATAATATTTTAATTTTTCATGTTTTTTCAATATAATATATGAAGGTGATATCGAACTCGTAACTTTTTTTGTTGGAGATATATTTGAATAGTCAAATTAAAAAAAATAATAATAAATTTTAAAAACTCATTATTATTATTATTAGTTTTGGCCTACACTTTAAAAACATTTTTTAAACGTTGATAAAAAAAATGATTATCATAGCTACTCATATTGATAGCTAGCTTTTCTTTTTCTTCAAAAGAAAGCATAAAAGTTTTTAGGCCATTTTCTTGAAAGAAGAAAAAAAATCTATTTACTTCCATTTAAAAAATAAAAGAAATCAACCAAAAAAAGGAAGAAAGAAAGAAAAAGGGTAAAACCCATCATAATCTTTTCTTCTAATTTTCCCGGAAAAAATGAGTATAAAATTCGCCCATTTCCCCATTTCGTCAATGGGAGCACCACTTCCTATGAGGTTAGATACTTCATGTCATTACATTTTCTGTTCATTCTGCAATTTTCTTTCGTCATTTGATTTTCTTTAAAGTATTGTTTATGCTCTGAATGGCTGCTGAGAAGTTTAGAAGACGAAATTATGCTCAGGTGCAGTTGGTTTCTTGTTTGATTCAGAGAGGTTATGGAAGAAGATGAGAATTTTAAAATTTTTTTGGGTTTTGCCCATTTTTCTAACAGCCCAGGCACACATTTCACTTCGTTTGATTCTTGAAGTCATCGGTTTTATTGCTGTTTGTCCCATTCCATCCAAACAGGATTCTTCTGGTCGATTTGGCTTAATTATCAAGTAGGAAAGGGTGCAATTAGTTATCAGACTCAAAAGTAGTTTGGTATTTTTCAATTTTGCATATAGGTTCACTAGCTAAATCCTTAATGCAAAACAAGAAGTTTAGGCGCGTTTAATACTCCGTTTTTAAATTTTGAATCTTGTTCATCGACAATTTCTTTGTCTAAAATTTTCATTTCTAGGCTTTTGTTGGAAATTGTTTACAAGCTGAGAAGTTTGTTATTATATAAACGTATTTGTTTTTTTTTTAATTATAGAAATATTTAATAATTAACCCAAATCTTTCTTCAGGATATACATATTTAACTGAGCTACATGTGACTGTATTGCTTTGTTACAAGAACTGTTAGGTAACTTTTCTAAGAGTGTAGTGGTGTGTGACTTTTGCACTTGATTTTTGCTTCAGGGCTCCTCCAATTTTACCTATATGGTCGTTTTTATTTGGACCAATTGGACTGGATGTATGTAATTCGATTGAAGTCTCTGCAATGTGAAGGTATGGAGGAATTGATTGGAAAATGATATTTGAGGCTTTTTATGCTATTATTTGCACCAACTATTCTTACACTACCTGGTTTTCCCTTACACTTATTGTGATAGCTGAAGATCGGATAAATTGATGATGACGACAACTTTTAGAAGGAACCAGCTGAAGAAGGCGAAGGATCATTTCTAAATTTAGCTACTTTGTTAACTTAGGAAGAGAAAATTCACGCTTCATAGGTCTCCATTATTTCTTTCTACAAGGAAGTGCAGCCAACTAAAAATTTATAATTAGGGTTCACCTGAAACTACTTGCCGAGGAATGTCCAATGACATCTTGGAGAAGGATAGTTTCTTTGAGAAAACTGCATCAGTTCAATTGGTCTCCAGAGTGATATATTTACAAACTAGTTCTCCACACTGGGAATATTGGTTATCTTATGGCATAATTCGTGCATACATAAACAGTGAGCATGAAAGGCCAAGATAGCTCCCAACTTCCCAAAAGAGGTAAGATCTAATACCACAAAAAATTCCAGATTTCTATTACGCATGTCATTATGTACATTGATCTAGATATATCAGTTATGTGGTAGATAGTGGGGAGCAAAAATTCTAGGCTAACATCGTAATAAATCTGAGATATCTTCATGATTTGAGAATGAAATTGTCTTGATGGCTGGAAGGCAACTATATAGCTAGCATATGTATAATCCCATCATCCCAATCGCAATTATGGACTACGAGAAAGGTTCCACTAGTCAACTATATAGCTGGCATATGTAGAATCGTAGCTGCTGTTAGTTGAATTGCGGGCTTAGGGAATTATGAGTTTCCTCATTGTGCGACCCTTTTAAGAAGAAAGCCTAGGCTCTTTGGCTTAATGGTTATCAGAGCTTCTGTGAGCAGTATGGTTAAGGGGGGAAAGAGACTGGTCCAAATTATATGGATGCTGTTATGTCAATTTCTTTAAGATGGAGCTCTCTCCATAAAGATTTTTGTGACTATGGTCTTTCGTGCCAAATGGAGAGGATTTTGCAACTCATTCGACCTTCTCAGGCTTCATGCTTTAAACATTTCAAGTTAACTTAAAAACCTTTATTGATGGATATATGTATTCCTTTGCTCTTGATTTTCACCATGGATCTTTTCGCAATGGTTTGAACTAAATTTCTTTCTTAAAAAATGTGTGAATTACTGAAGCAAATTAATGCACCTGGCAGTAAAAGAACTTTTTAAATTGTCACGTTGAACTTTTGCAAGATGCAGTTAGTAAAAATTTCCTTCTTACTGCAAAATTTTCAGTCACAGGCATTTAGAACATTTTTCTTCTGCTACATGCTTTTTTTTCCTTAGTAATATTTGAGTGAGTATCTATTTCATTAATCTTTCAATTGAATTTGTATATTTTGCTTCTTTTCCAGTTTATTGTATTTGTAGTTTATTGTTGTTCTTTATGCTAAATCTTGTGGCTGACCTGAAAGAGTCGTTATTAGTTTTCTTATGTCTTATGCTGAGGTTTTGTTTCACCCTTCCTTGGAGAAGAGTAGAGTCCTTTGGAGGGTTGGTTCTTTTGCTGTGTTATCGTGTATCTTGGTAGAGAGGAATAATAGAACCCTCAGGAAGAGGAGAGATGTCTTGGGAGGAGATCTGGTACCTTGTTGGCTTTAATATATCACTTTGGGCTTCAATTTCTGGAGACTTCCTTCTGTAATTATTCGCCTGGTATTTTTCATTTGAGTCATTTCTTGTTTCATTAGGTTAGTTTCTGCTTGGCTCCTTTTTGGGTTGTTTTTGTAAGCCCCTTTTTTTGTTGGTCTTCTTGTTGGACCATTGGTTGACCATTTTGTATTCTTTCATTTTCTCATGAAAGCTCAGTTTTTTGATAAAAAAAGTTTTCTTGGTCACCTGAATGTTATAGCGTAGATGATTACTATCTATGTTAGGCATATACATAATTTATGCTATCCTTCGAGAGGCTTTTTGATGTTATAGTTTTCAAAGTTGTAACTTGGTGTAAATGCTATCCTATGTTTCACCACTATATCTATTCTTCCCTTTTAGCTAATTGGGAGTGCTTCACGTAATCCTTTTATAGGGTTTTTGTAATTTCATACATCAATAAAATTGTTCCACACACAAATATATATATATATATACACACACACACATAGTTTGTGCTGAACGATATGATGTAATGATTCTGTTTTGCAGTTCCTCTAAACCATGTGTCAAGGAAGCTGTGAAAGATTTGAGAAAATGAATAAACAGAATAATCCTTGTATAAACAATCGGCCATCAGTATATTACTGGTGGAGACCAGATGAGAGGATATCATATGAGCTGACTGATTTTGTTCTTGAAACTGATACCTCCAACTTTTGTGATGCCAGACACAGTAAGGATATCAGTAATATAAATGAACAGAAATCTTCTAAGATATTGAGCACAGCTCAGATCATTTCAATTTCTGGCCAAGTATTGAGTCTTGCTAGACGTCCTCTTACTTTTTTCCAACCGATGAGGATTTTAAATCAAGAAAATGATGGTTCCAATGATGTTATCTTCAATAATGTGGTTGAAGTTAATGGCAATGCAGTTACTTCACCTGAAATGAAAAAAAATTGTGTTGATATAAGGACCGATGGCCAATGTTCTCCAGTGGTGCAGCCTATCTTGGATTGTTTGACAGTAACTCGGAAGATGTCTATGTTAGAACCTCGTAAAAATAATTCCATGTCATTCCGAAGTCTGCTACATGGTGGTAATGACATGTCGGACAAATCATGGAAGGGAAAAGGCCTTGGAAGTGCAAAAATCTCACACAGTCTGGGGAAGATATATGGATGGATGAGTCATATAAGTCATAGTGAGACTTGCTACCCTGTGAAAGTTGCCAATACTGAAAGCATGAAAGCCAATGCATTCGAGGCTAGAGGCGCCTTTAATAAAGCAGGAGATACGAATTTTCTTGTAAATGAGGCGATCAATGAAATTTCGAAGAATGCTTCTACGTTTCAATTTATCAATTTTTCATCACTGTTCATCAAAAAATTGGAGATAAATATGATGGAAAATGTTTATATGGCCTCACGTATCCTCACATTTGTGCAAGATAACAAGGCAGATGGCAGTATTCTGGGGAGCCCAGATTCAGATATTTCGGCAGTCCATTCACTACCTTCCAAAGATGGTGCATTAGACAAGTTGGCCTACGAGAGCAAGACTGATAGCAGTGAACAACATGAGAATAAAACCAAACAGCCTGACAAGTCCATTGTTGAAAATGAATACAACAGAGAGGATTGCTCTTTGACAAGTGAAAAATCTTGTTACAATATCGCTAATCAAGGACATGCCTTTGCAGGAGCATTGGCTGGTGTATTTGTCAGCCTTTGTCTACATCCTGTTGATACAATCAAAACAGTGTTTCAGTCTTATCATGCAGAACAGAAGTCTCTCAGTTACATTGGAAAATCAATTGTCTCTGATCGAGGTGGGTCGGTGACTGCGAAACACATTTCTCAATCTGGAAATCAAGTGAAGTTTCAATCATATCGGTCGGAAAATTGATAATAGCTTTTTTCAGGTTTAAGTGGACTTTATCGTGGAATCTCCACAAACATTGCTTCTTCGGCTCCCACATCTGCTATTTACACTTTCACATATGAGTCAGTTAAAGGAGCTCTGCTTCCACTTTTCCAAGAGGTAGAAATTTCGTTCTGTTACTCATCATCATTTTTTCTTTCATTCCTTTCCCTTCTGTTTGTCTTTCCTCTTTTAAGTGTTTTTGCGTGCTTACTATTGCTCTCTCCCTCTCCAAGTAAACGTTTGGAGTACGCTGAAGAGATAACCAAACTGTAACTGTTAATTGGCGACAGTTGTGGCTTTCCACCAATGAACAGGTGCTGCATGAATTACATATTGGCCCCTCCTGCTGATGTTTATGGAAAATGGAACTTGTGAGCCTGTAAGTTAGCCTGGTATGCAATTGCATCAGAGTTTGGGGAGGGAGAGATGCAGGCAGAACTCTGAATATGGATTTGTTTTTTGGAACCAATAGCATAGTCTTTTGATCAATTATTCCAATTTATAGTTATTCACTTTGGATGTTTGCTGGTTTCTAAGCTTTTGGGTTCTTTCTTTTCTTTTCTTTAGGAGTATCGCTCTTGTGTCCATTGTGCTGCTGGTGGCTGTGCAAGTATTGCTACATCTTTTATTTTTACCCCAAGTGAGCGTATAAAACAGCAGATGCAAGTTAGTGCACACTACCACAACTGCTGGTATACATTTTAGATTATCGTGCTGTCACTGTTGATATTACAGAAAGGATTTTTTCTATTTGTTTTTTGTACATTTTGTCTAGTCCACTTGAACTCAGCTCATTCTCGCCTTTGGTTTACCAAGAATGTCTTCTCTTGGATTCTTGCTAGGCTACTTTGTATTAGTTCATTAATTTGATAGTGGTTCTGTGATTTCTTTTCAGCCATTAATATCATCTTAAGCTCAAGTTTCTTGACTGATATTCTGGTTGACTGTCGTACTTCCATCCGGATACATTGCCTTGCAGGAATGCCTTCGTTGGCGTTGTTGCGAAGGGTGGATTGCGTGGATTATATACCGGGTGGGGAGCTGTTCTTTGTAGAAATGTACCGCACTCAATTGTCAAGGTAAGGATTTTCTATGTGCTAGATGGGTTAAAGCGAAGCAAAAGGACCATGACAGAATATGTGAAAAACCAAGGACATGTTTGGTAATGTTCATATTTTATATTCCTTGTTTTTCGTTTTTTCTGCAATCGAGAAAAATATAATTGCGTCTATTGTTTCGTATTTTATTATAAATATTTATTTTTATTGTAAACATAAACAATTCTTGTTTCCTGTTCTCTAAAATTTTAAATTAAGAAAAGTAAAAGTTTTATATGAAAAATTAATTTTTCAAATTAAATATTAAAATTTTTATGTTATATTTATCTTTTGATATTTATTATGCATTTATGGGTCTAAAATGATAAAATAATGCTTTTACCTATGTTTTGGAAAAAATTGGAAACAGGAATAAGAAATAATAAATTTGGAACTCGATTGGTAACATTCTCGTTTCCAATTTTATCAAGAACCCTAAGCATTTTGCAACTAGTTATGTTCTTCATCTTCTTCTTCTTTTTTTTTTTTGGTAACATTATCAAATTGTATAGAAATTTTGGAATCAACAAAAACAAATTTTGTTTCTTGTTCTCGTTACCATTTGTTCCAAAAAAAAAATAAATAAATAAAAATATTATTTTATCATCACTGAATTCATGGGTGTTGGAGCCATTCAATCATATTTTTATTTATTAAAAATGAGGCCAAACAGGTTCTTGATCCTCTTGTTTTCAAAATTTCTGCATAATTTTGGAAATATTTCTTAAAGATGAAAATCAAGAAACAGAAACCAAACGCTTATGTTTCTATAAAATTAGAAATGAGAAACAAGAAAAAATAAATGAAAATGTTACCAAACGAGTCCTAAAATAGTGCAAATGATCCTAAGTGTACCAGCCATTCATCTTATTCATCTTAACTCATTAGACGCAGTTGATCTTTCAGTTTAACTTCAATTTTCTTTCTATTTCACCATGTCATTTTGGCATTATTTTCTTTGCAGTTCTATACATATGAGAGTTTGAAAGGACTGATGAAATCTAATGCTCAACAAAGTACATCACAAACGGTTAGTTGTTGTGGTTTTCCCACCAATTTTTACTGTCTTCTAAATTTAATGATTATAAATTTTCTGTTGGGAACAGCCTTAATGGGTCCACCATCAATTGCCTACAATAAATGAGGGCTGAAATTGGATTTTTTATTCCAACTTCGTCCCTACCCTTGAATTGGAATCTTGAAATTAGAGTCCAACTAGTTAAAGTATTTGTTAATGAGAACACTATATTTTCATTAATTAAGTTATTTGATAAGTAAAAATATAAATATTAATAAATTCGATCAATTTTTAAGTTTCAATGCAGATCTTTTTATAGATTATTTATGTTATGTACATATGAAAATATAAATTGATTTCCTAAAAATAAAGGGTGAAGCAATGTTGAGGAATGGAAATGAGTTTGGATTCCTGATCACATTCTATTCCCACTACACCATTTTGTTTTTAGTTTTCTATTTTTCTAAAATGAAGTTGGTAAATACTCCTTTTTATTTCTTTATTTTGTATCTATGTTTTCAAAACATTTTCAAAATCTAAACCAAATTTTGAAAACTAAAAAAAGAGTAGTTTTTAAAAACTTGTTTTTGTTTTTTAAAATTTTGCTATGAGTTTAAATGTATTTTTAAGAAATGTGAAAACATGCCAAAGAAATTGCGAACAAAAACAAAATGATTATCAGAGCCTTATTAATGAGTTTCTTTTCTTCATGTTAGTGACAATGATGGTTTAGAGCTATAATACTTGTCACATAGATTTAGATGATCATTCTTTATCTGCAGTTAGTTTGTGGAGGAGTAGCTGGTTCTACTGCTGCTTTGTTTACCACTCCCTTTGATGTTGTAAAGACAAGATTGCAAACACAGAGACCAGGATCTCTGAGCCCATATAAAAATGTGACTCAAGCACTCTATGAAATAGGCAAGAAAGAAGGTCTGAAAGGCCTCTACAGGTATGCTTTTTGTCCCACCATCGCTTATCTCGAGTATATAATCTTTCATCAATTGTGGAATTTCCATGAATAAAGAGCATCGAGGAGGTTTGTTTCCTTGTAATTTGTTAGTAGTTTGTTGAATTTGTCGTCTCGTCTTTGTGATCAGGGGGCTGACTCCAAGACTGGTTATGTATATGTCTCAAGGTGCAATCTTCTTCACCTCTTATGAATTTTTGAAGAGACTCTTTTCCCTTGAGAAGCCCCAACAGGCCACCAAAAGAGTCCAATGCCAACCCGATCCGAAATCGGGAAGATGATCCAACATGAGAACGCAATTCTCTTCATCATCAACATTAGCAAGCATCCTCCTCGTTGTTGTCATCAACAACCTTGACGCAGGATTTGCCCTCCTAATATTTGCCAAAATATGAAGAAATTGATTGGGGATGTCCTATCTGAGAGATTATATTTGAAATTTTTGCCACAGAAAGTACAAAGAGATGTTTCATCCATTGTAGTTGGAGGGTGTCACTTTGAGATTGGGTTTCTGCATCATCCACATAAATTGAAAGGAAGGTGTTGCAGCAGAGCCCTAAGAATTAGATTATTATAGATTCTTTTAGACGAGGAAGAAGTCATTTTTCAGAGTAAATAATTGTGAATTAGAGTGTTGATTTTCATCATTATTGAGTAGGTAACCTACATGTAGTAAGAAGCTTAGGCTATACTGTACACTTTTAAGCAAAGTATAAATAAATTTCCAATTTTTGTACTTATTTCCTCTTTCATAATGATTCCTATTGGAAATTATTGTGTTAGTTGTGCCGATTCTTTAATCTCTAGGCTAACTTTATACATCATACTTTTTTTTTCATTGGTGGTCACAGCAATCTAGATTTTGTTTCTTGTAACAGATTTGTTTGGTAAATTTGCTATTTGCCAAACAAATCTTTCATAAATATATTATTTCAGTTATAAACTAATTCATTTTTTTTAAGATTATAAATTATATAATATTATAAAATAATAATTATACAAAATTTATAACATATATGTTAATAAATTAATTAATAATATTTAAATCAAACTAATATTGAATTGGTGGCTACCACTAATTTACAAATATAACTCATATTTGAAAATACTAAAATTATGAATAGAACACTTTTTTTATTAAATCGATTTATATCTTCAGAGCAAGATCTCAGACATTATCTCGATATTATTTATCTCTCTGAAGGTGAGATGTATCAATTCTTGAGCCGGTTATTGAACTCAAAAAATAAGATCAAGAAGCAGGACATCTTTTTCTCTATCAAGCTGTGTGAAAGAGAGGGCTACCAACATGAATGAATGAGGGGGAAAAAAACCAGCAAACATCAGCCTAAAAGCATTTACCCTTAACTGCTTTTGGTAGGCTTCAGCTGTGACTGCTTCTAACCTTTTGGAAAAGCTTGCCTACTTGACCACTTTCTGAATCTTCCAAAAGGAAGAAAGAGGACCACTTTCTAGAAGCTAATACCATAAGGATTTTGATCTTGATTGAAAGCTTTTGCACAGGGCCAAGGCAGGCCATTGCTCTACACAAACCTTAGATCTGCTCCAATGAAATAAATGATCAGTTCCTTTTCCCGTTTCCATTGAGAAAAATGAAAGAATATAATAACGTCAAGGCTAACAAGAGAACATGAAAGGCGTTGTCAATATACGTTGAGAAACAAGTTGACACTTCACCAAAAATGATACTTCTTGAAGATGATAGAACCTGCCCGTTATTCATCGTCCCGAAAAGTAGAACAAAAATCTAACTGTTGATCAAGACAAAACTTTATGAAATATATTTATACCCATACAAGACTTTCACTTCCCCTCTAACAATATAATATACAGAAAGTCCAATGTGAAGGACAATAGTTTCCCTAGTTATCAATTTGCTACTCATATCTCCCTACCAAATTACAATATGGACAGTTAACTATCAAGTTATTCAAAAAGGTTTGGTTTTGAAGAATAATAAATAAAAGGGCCCTGACACCCTCTTGATGTGGAGTTCCCCTAATTAGCATCTTCCCAAGTCTCTCCTACTAGTCATTTCAGCTTTTCTTTAAGTAAGCTCTTGCTCTGTTCTACAAAAGAATTCCGATCCCCCGACTCCGAGAGCCCGTGCAGTAGCTGAAAAGGTTCCTTGTACCTTACTTCCATTTGAACTTTATAAGCAGCTTCCATGACTCTAATCAGGTGATCTCTCTAGAGTCAATCTGGAATCATCTGAGGAAGCCATAATACGTGCACTGATCAACCTGGCCTTAATCCTACACTACACCCTAGCAATGGGAGAAAATGGAGGATTGAGCAGATATGATGGCGGCGTTTCTTTCAAAGTTCTTGTTTCTCTTTTATTCTCCTCCATCGTGACTGCGTCAATCAAGGATTTTACTTCTTCCTCGAGAAGAAATTTTAAGGAATTACAATGCTGTAACTCTTTTGTTTCCTCCACCTGGATAGCATTGCAGGCTTCGGTCGCGTGTAAAATAGCAACACAAATGGAGAATGCTTGTAATGTTGATAACTGCGCATGAAAATCGACCGAGTATTGTCCATCTTTGACAACATTCATGGTCAACGCTGGAGTGTTGTCCTTTACTCCCTGTATCCACATAAAAAAGCAAGTATTGCTATGAGATCATTGAGATGTTATATCACTTGCCAAAGCCTGAACAAGTTGCATAAATAAACAAATTTTTAGTTCCTGGAGCATAAGTAAATATAGATATATACAAAGTTTTAGTACGTACACTTCAAGTATATGGTAATATGAATATGTATGAAGCTTTAATATGATTGATACACGTAATGATATGGTGTAAAGTGTACAATTCTAGCAACCAAGAACAACATTAAGCCACATTGAATCTATTTCGTCATGACTATGAACGGATAAAAATTACTCCAAAGTTTCAAAGTATAGGTTCTTCATGATAGCAAGAGAAACATGAAGCAAAAGATGGAATCTTGTTTAAGAAAGTACATTTTCACCATTTTATTGACTGATAATCAACAATGCATAATTATAGTTCAACTCAAGTACAGCATCTGATAAAAATTTAAATCAGCAATAGAGTTTAAATTGGGAAAAAAAAAGTTACTACGAGAGCAGAAAAACCTTATTCTTTTGTAATAAATTTATTATCAATAATTTTTGTTTCTAATCTAGAAAATCGATACAGAAAATGCTTGGTAGTCCAATTGTTGCAGTTGAACATTGCGCCATTAAATGAACATGATAGGCATATGAAAGTCTGTTCAGCGCCTCAAGCTTCTATTATACACTTGTTATCAAACTTTTTGATATAAAACATCAGTCCAGAATTATAATTGCCAATTATCTGGAACCTGCAGAAAGCTTACCTGAAGAAAGAGCTCAAAAGTCCGTTTCTCCTTTTGTGCTTGATTTCCAGCACAGTGGATACTGCGGCTGCCCAAAATTAGAAGAGGACAACCCAGGTCCCAACCGCCACAGTCGCAACCACCTCCCAACCTCCATCGATCCAGTAATGTAGAAGGGCCATGGCTTTCGACAGCTGGCAAACTATGGTTTCCAATGGGAAGTACCACCTTCAGAGTTTCTTGTGTTGTGCGACGAGGAGATTCGTCTATCCTTTTTTCAATCTTAGAGAGATTTTGTATGACTGAGTTCATTTTACTGCTCGTCTTATCACCTCTTTTATACTTCAAGCTCTCTCTCTTGCTAAATGGGATTTGCATAACAATAGCTGCAGATTCCAAGTTTGGATGTAAATCTGCTGAATCCCTAGGGCAAGAATCTATAGAACCATAATCACAATTTTCAGAAGCATGTTTTTGCTGAAGTTTGGGTTTTTCAAGAGGGGTCCCATCATTCATACTGAATGCTTCCAGATTAGAACTTTTGGGAGGTTTGACAACATCGGGAATAGAGTCACAATTTTCTTGGGAGGCAGTACTCTGTCTAGCACGTGCAGTATCATACAGAACAAATTCTGTGACCATGGAGTTGTCGAAACCACCATCTCTAAGTTCAGAGGATAAATAACAGGAAACTTGCATCTGACCCACCAGTAAGGAGTTTTTGCAGCTGTGATTTAATCCAAAACCACTTGCATTACCTTTTTTTCGATGATCCACGGAATAAAATGTATACACCCATTTAAAAGCATTGCCTGTCTTCCACGTCTTAGCCACATAGACATCTTCAGGGAAGTTCTGAGAGAACTCAAAAAATGGCATCCCATGTTTTTTTCCCAACTTGAGAGAGCCATGTAAATGAACGGGTGAAGATGCTACACCACCAGTTTGGTGATTGTCATTATTCACAAAATGAGAATCACAATCTAAACTCTTTGCTGTATTTGAGAAATCTTGCAACAAAGATTTTCTGTATGTCTCATTTTTTCGCAGGCCAAATGTCCTAACAGCTTTATCTCCACCATCTTCTACTGCATGACTGAAACGACTTCTGACAGATTTAGATTTCATAAATGGATCCAACATTTTCCTGAAAGGACTGATATGAACCTTTGGGCTGTGTCGAAACCGTAGATCACTTTCCAATGGAAGCTGATTTTTAGGCATTTCTACCTTAGCAGAGAGTGACTTCTGCAATGTGTGGAGCTTGTCTCTCTTCAAACGTTCCTTGCCACTGTCAAGGGGTCCAACACCTTTAACATTTTCAAGATGATTGATAGAATCTTTCGATAGATTTTCACTGTTCTCAGAACCTAAGTAGATCTCAATGAAGCTATCTGATGAACGCGGACCTATGCAAGCTTTACTAACTGGTGATTGATTCAGTTTTTTGTCTAATGATAATAATACTGGAGATCTCCGCCTTGGGATTTCCTCATCTGAACTGCACAAAGTGGCAATAATACCAGAAGACCAAGAGGTGTAATTGTCATGCGAAATTTCGATTTTTCTCCTTTCCCCATGAATGTTCATCCCTTCTGTGTTACCTACATCTTCGGAGCTTTGGTACTTAGAACCCTGCTGAAGCACTTCATCATCTTCCAGTTCAACGAGGCTAGATGAATTGCTTTTACGAGACCTTTGGTCACGACCAAATCTGATTTCTGTAAAATCATCCTTTACATTCAACACAAAATCTTTATGCTTATCATCTTCCAGTTCAACTAGGCCAGGAGAATTGCTTTTTCGAGACCTGCGGTCGCCACTAAATCTAATCTCCGTAAAATCATCCTTCACATTCAATACAAAGTCTTTATGCTTGTGTTTTTTTTTCGTGCTTCTCTTTTTCATGCTCGAACGCCGTGGAAACGATGGAAGAACAGTGTTAGGACTCAGATCCACCGAGCAAATGCTGTCAGAGTCCAATTCTGTCTCTCGTCCCATTGTATGATCCACAGCTCTGCAGAAGCAAGACACTTGAGTTTCGAACAAAGATCCAAGAAATTTAACTAGATAACAGTTCTAGCAACAAAGAAGGCAAAGGAAAAGAATTGTAACTCAACATGTATCACAACGTATTGATATTTTGACTTGAGAAAATGGATAAAAATAAAATGAAAAAAAAAGGGTCTACTTTAAATCGCTAAATCACAGATTTGCAACTAGAAGAAACTGCACTGGTAAAAGTACATAAAGACAGAACTTATTTCCAACAAATAGTTCCTGTCATTATTAGAAACACTTCAAAAGCTTAAATTTCATGTCCACCTGAATCTACCAGTAGACAGAAGTAAAAACCAAAACACAGGACCAGATCTTAACAAAAACTCAAATAGAACAAAATGAAGCAGCTCACAAGATTTTTGAACTCCAACCTTTCAAATATTCAGTTTGTGAAGAAGGCAAATGCCCCATTAACAATTAGTAACCTCTGAGTATCAGAGAACTTCCAAAAAGAAAACTTGATTCTAGAAGCTGAGAGCTTCTCCAGCAACTCTAATCCAAAACACAGACCAAGTAACAGATAAAAACCAAAATGTGAGATCAGGGGAGCGAAAATCATTTCATCAAACGCATTGTAGGCAACAAACAAGAAACTCCAGAACAAAAAACGGAAGAATTGGGCTTACCCCACCAGATCTCAGAAGAGTGAAGGCAAAGAAAAACCCAACAAACAACAGGAAGAAGCAATCATGTCGACCAATTTCTTCAGCTGAAAGCTCCAAAAGAATCCAACCCCAAATCAAAAAACGGTGAATTCGTCGCTAATGAGAATTTTTTCAAAGAATCAACGAAAGTTGAAGGGGGGAAAGCAAAAGATGTGATCAGAGGAACTTGGTCAGTAGCCGAAAAGCATAATGAGCAAATAAAGCAAACTCTTTGAGAGAGTGTGTAATGCAAGGCAATTTTAAGAGAGAGAAAGCATGCGTTAGAGCGAGAAAGAGAGTGAAAAATGAGAGAGTTCTCTCTCTCTCTCACACGAGTGAAGGTTGCTGGGAGAGACAAGATAACTGCGAAGCTGCTGTTCATGTCTACTTTAATAAAACACACCATTGTTTCTGTACTCATCATTTCATATCCTCTTCTTCCTTTTTCTTTCATTTAACGTCTTCTTTTTTAGAAAAATAAGTTTTGTTTCTTCAAATCATTACAAATTGCAAGTTTTGATTCTAAAACGTTTTAGAGGGGTGCTTATTTAGTATTTATAGTTTAAAATACTTCTTATGATTATCAACTTTCCATTTATTTTGTGTTTAATAGAGTATTTGTTATTAGTACTGTTTTTACGCTATCAAATATATTAATAGTTATACAATCTTTAAATAATATATTTATCATGCTACATAGATCTTAAATTGATGGAGTTAACAATCAATTAGAAAATTTTTAAAATATAATCACCAATTCAAAATTTTTAAAGTAATTTCATTGACCAAATTGGTAAATGAAAACTTAACATTAATTAGAGTTTAAATCAGCTGCTTCTATGATCCTACTAGATTTGGGTGTAAAATTAAGTAATCCCTATGAAATCTAAAAAAAAAAATTACTTAGCTTTAATAAACCAAAGCCAGCCCATTATGATTAATAAATAGTATGATAAAAAAATAACCATTTTGAGTATAATTTTAATACAAATTAAACACACAATTAGAAACCATTTAATATACATTATGGTTACATTTTAAAATATATATTAAATATGTATTATCGCGTTGAAATTGTGATAAAAAAATTAAATTAAAAGTAAAATTAAGGGATCAAAATTGTAACTTTTTAAAAGTATCTGAAATAAAACAAATATTTTGAAAATATATCAATCTAAATTGGAACTATATACTAAAATGAACTAAAACGGAGAGTATGTAGATCAAAATAGTATTTTAAATGTTAAAATATTAGTTATAATCTAAATAAATAAATAATAATTTTTAAAAGGTTTTAGCTGCATTAATAAATTATAAATAGTTGCTTTTTTTTTTTTTACAATAAATGAGTGATGAAGAGTATTAATGGTATGTATTACATAATTCTAACCTAATTCAATAAGAAGCTGCTAGCAATAGTAGCATGGGACTGTTGGTTTTTGCCTTTCTTTATTATATACATTTGGGGCACCCCTAGGGAGTGAGCTATACTTCTACTCTATTTTCACAATGATATTACGTCTATACCCTTTGGAAATGGCTTTTCTCACTACAATTTTGGTGGCACTATTGGAAATTCAAGGATACCAACAGGGAAGGAAGTGCACTTATCAAAAGGGGTGGGGGTGCCCATATCACTGCAACAACAACATTATTTTAGAGACTTTGGGAAGTGCAAAGCAAATATTGAAGAGTGGAATCCACAATTAATGACTGTTTCAAATTATTATTAGTTTTATAAGATTGAGATAAACAACCCCTTCATCAAATTGTGGATCAAAGGCTAGTAGTGAAATTACCTTAAAGCCCTTAGGGTCCCCAAGTTTTGGATGTGGTCAATTACCAAAATACCCATGAAAAGAAAAACCATGTTTTGGCACCATTGAAGAAAAAGACAGTTGGAAGTTTTCTTCTATTTAGAGAGAGAGAGAGATTTGGGAATGATTCAAAAGCTGCAAAAGGAAGTTCTAAATCAAGAATCAACAAATGGTCCAAAAGAAGGGTCAATAAAAGTGGGTCAAATTGTTGCCTCAACTCTATCCTATATGCTTCCCCTTTAGCTTCTTCTAAGTAATTTTCATATATTCTTTTTTTTCCCTTCACATTCTAGTCCATGTTATAAATTTGTACGCAGGTGGTGAAAATGTTTAGGTCTCAATTTTATAAAAATATCCATGTCGAGAAAAATAATTATAAAAATAAAAAATTCATAATAAATATTTAGATTAATAAATAAAAATAAGTTTAAAACTATTAATATTAATATTATATATCTAAATTAATATACTTAAACCGGAACATGCTACTAGAATACTATTAGACACATAAAATTCAATCTCCCTATCAACGAAGTTCAATCTATAAATTAATAAAATTCATTTTTTCCGTCTATTTGACTGGCACATATGTTCAAATAAGTTAACAAAACAATAATTTAATTAATGATATATTAATTTTATATTAATAATTTTTAATAACTTTTTTAAGGTAAGAGCTTACTTTGAGAATTTTTAATACATAAGATAAATTAAGAATTTTAAAAGGTTAAAGGACAAAAATTGAAAAAACGTTATGGACTATTTTATTAGATACATTTAGGCTAAAATTTGAAAGGAAAAAAAAAATATTACGGACTATTTTATTAGATTATCTAAAATCATGAGAAAGAAGGGGTCAGTTTTGGAAAAAGGACAGAAGATTGTGGTGAATTACAGTGGTCGAGGGAAGGACTGTCCGAGCGGTGGAAGGGCAGAATGGTAAAATAACAAGAGAGTGAAAAATCGGGCGGGAGGGAGGCGGAACCGACAACCGAGACAGTCGATCACGTCAGATAAAACCCACGGAATCTTTGGGCTCCGTTTTCAGAACTCTCAATTCAATTTTCCTTTTTNTTCGAATTTAATCTTATGAATATTTTATATCATCTTTCAAATATTAATTATCTTATTCGAATTTTTTAAACTTAGAGTAAAAATTATCTTGCCATATCATTAATATTATTCAGTGGTTTAGTGAAAGCATTTGAAATTGTTTTCAACTCCTTATTAATATTTAAGTTTTAATTTCTTTGCTTCTGGCTTTTTATTTTTCAGGGCTTTTTATTTTTCAGAAACACATTTGGTAATTGTTGGTGTTTCTTATTTCTCATTTTGAAGAAACATTCTTAAATTTATGTAGAAATTTTGAAAACTGATTTTTGTTTCCAATATATGTAAAAATATTACATAAAAAAATTTAAAATTTAATTTGTTTATATAAAACTAATTTTTTTAATCTAAATTTTTAAGAAACAAAATGGGGTTACTAAACATATTTCTGTTTCTTTTTACATAAAAAAAATTGAAAGAACAGAAACAAGAAATAATTTTCAAATACAATCCTATTATTCTTAATTGAAAACATAAACGAGAAAAAAAAGATTAGAAAAAAAATTAGAATCAAGAAAAATAAACCTTACTTTAAATCTCAATACCTAACTCTATTCTCGAGTTCTTGGCTACATTTGTTTACATGTCAAATTTTGTTGAATAGTCTTATGAAAAAAAAATATCAAGTTTTAAATGATTGTTTAAAGTTCAACTAGTCTAGAATCTTAAAAAAAATCATTTTTAATAAAAGAAAGTATTGGTGCGATTTTGTTTTATTTAATCACACCACCATTACCGTACAGTGCAGATATTTTCCATTTTTTAAAAAATCGCTTGACCAGTTCTCAAGCTTGAAAATTTTCTTTTAAAATCCGAAAAAATTTGTCACTATAGGTAGAATCCACTTTTAAACAAATAGATTTAATTATTTGTTCACTCCATTTTGATTCGTTTTTCCTATCTACTTTCTAATTATTTATTCAAAATTTATTCATTTTAATACACCTACATTCAAAAGTGACAATTTTTACCTCTTCATTTTTTTCTTCAAATATAACCATAGATTTTAGATACAATGAAAATTTGTTAAAGTTTTATAAATAAATACCAAAACATCCAAAACGGCGGTAATTAACATACATCTCCAACCAAGATAGATATTATAAATTCAGTCTCTCATCCCACCCCACACATGTTGTACTAAAAAAATAAAGAAATAAAAACCAAAATAATCACTTCTAAAAGTGCAAAAATCAAAACCAACATTTGGAAAGTAAATATTCAAAATTTTAAAAATTAAAAATTAAAATATATATATGGAATTAAAATTTCAAAGTAAATATTCAAAACTTTTATGTTGTGTGTGTGTATACTATCATCATTCTATAAGTAAAAAATAATAAAATAATAATCTTATCAATATTTTGAGAAAAATAGAAACAAAAACAATAAACAATGAATTTGATTGTACTATTTCGAAATTTTCTAGGGTTAGAAACGTTTCTTGAAACAGAAAAAAAAAACAAAAAACAAAGGAGAATGTTATTAAAGGGGCCCTAACAGACATGAATAAAAATCTAACCACCAAAAAAAACACAATTAAACCTAATTATATTGAACTACATAATACCAACTTTTAAGATGATTGAGACAATAAATAATTAATAAATCAAGAAAATCAAATAATGATTTGACTAAAGTTAAGAGCATTAGTATTTTATGGGAGGTACCTGAACAAATAATCGCACCCAAATTATCTGGTCTTCTGTACAGGAACCATTGATGAGCCACCAACTTCATAAAGCTAAGCAACAATTAAATGGACTACAACTATGAAGGTACCACAGTGCAAAAAAAGTCAAATATTTATCATACTATATGGTAGCCATAATGCAACAGAATGATTCTAACAAGAACCAAACAAGGGCACCATTTAAGAGAGAGAGAGCAGGCATCAAATATGGAATTTCCTTGCCCACTTCGCAGTAGGCTAAATATTTTGAAACCTACCATTAGAGAAATCAACTGAAGCAAAATCTAATTCATGAATGTACCAAGAAAAGCTATGGGATGACAGTACCCCAACATTCTTAAGGGATAAGCATGTCATGAAGGACCATTTGGAAATTTAAATACCTCTTCGTCGAACTAATACCATATACTAAGCAAGAAAGAAGTATAAACATGGAATGTGCGTAAAAGGTCGGGGTTGGTTATAAATTTAAGCTATAAACCTAGCTAACAACTTCACGAGAGCTCCAGGTGATGGACAAGAGGGTGGGAGAACTTAGATACATACGGCAACCAGTTTAACTGTACACAGACTGATCCTAAGTGTAAATGAGACACAGAACAAGGTCAGCGAACTCCTTACTGTGCATTTTTAGCAGGTTCTGTGATATCATCCTTTTTAGGCTTGTTAGATTTCTGACTATCCAATACAGGCATGTACGCTTCACTCATCTTTTTGATGAGGTCCTCAGCCGCTTTGTCAGGCTCACGGGGACTGAGTAGACTCTTCTCCACATCTTCGAATTTGGCAGTTGCCCATGGTGCGGTGCCAACGCTCTTTGCAGAGGTAGCTGCTGCGTCTATTGTCAGCATAGATAGTTCATCCCTGGAAGCATACCAAGAATGACCACATGCAATGCACTCCAACTGGAATGGTAAAACCAGGGTATGTTAGCACCATGTAATTTTTTACACCAAACTGCAAAAGCATTATGTATAAATAGGGAACAAGAATGTATAGGTCTCATACTATAGTTGCCTAAAATAAAACATACATGTCAAGGACACGTTTATTATGATCTTTTTTATTTATTTTAATAATTCTTATGCTAAAAAATTGTTTTAGTTTTGGATCAAAATATTCATGATAGATCAAATTTTGAAGTCTAAAGTGTTACGTATTAATATGTATTTCATGTCTATTTCACCCTCCAAATGTCTATGAGTGTTTCACTCGTGTTTAATTTGCTTAACAAGTGTCCAACACATGTCAGACACATTGCCCAAATGAAGTGTTTGTGCATCTGGTACCATCAATAGCAATTAGATATTAGACACGAGTATGTTGTTGAGCTAGATATAAGCACTAGTTCTTAAAGGCAATGTATGCAAAGATATTGCCACAAGTCGGGGATGACTTGTCCAGCATGGGGCAAAGGAAAATTCGAAAAAGAAAGAATGAGACCTTATATCGTTCTCCATGTCCTGTTTGGATGATATCCCTTACACCAACTTTACATTCTGTGCATCTTGAACACCGAGCATCTGTCATCTGTTTCATCTTATATAGTCATTTAAGTGCATAACAAATGGTAAATGAAATGAGAAGGGACAAATGGAGGAAGGAAAGAAGATGCTGACCTGCATACGCTCAGACTCATCAGGCTCCTTATTTGCTGCTGTCTCCTCAGCAGTCAATCCATCCTGTAGTTAACAATTATAGTGACTTTTACTTTCTTGGTTCGAAAATGTATTTGCGTAAATGCACACTCGTAGAAATAGAAAAACTCATGCAGCTCAAGCCCATGGGTAAATCAACATATACACATGTTTCTAAAAATTTGACTGATGCAAAGAAGAGCTATCAAATCATAAAGCCATATTCAGGATAACATCAACGATGATGATATACATGAAAATGACATGGAATGGACAGGGATCCTCAGCCCTGGTCTCGATTTTGATGGACATGCCCATCCCATTTCATTGGTATTCGATACTTAAATTCATGGGTATATCCAAGAGAATATCTGCATGTGTTGTCTTTTTGTTATTTTTTTCCCCCTTTTTTGAGAAGGTGCACTTGCACAACCGTTATCTTTCTCTCCCCGCCAATATCTCCCTCAAATTTTTTTTCTCTTGATTCTCTTTCTCACAATTAAGTTACATGATAGACTTAATTTTTCATATTGATATTTAAAATTTTTGTTTCTCTCCATTTTATTATGTAATTTTAAATAATTTTTAACAACAATGAGACGTACATTTAAATTAAAATATATATATATATATATATAAATAAATAATAGAGAGAGAGAGAGAGAGAGAGAGAGATCAAGCTTCCATAAAGAGAACATTGACAACCCATAAAGAATCAACCTAGCACACAAGAAGGCAAAAATAAAGAAACAAACAAAAAAACATAAAAAGTTCATAATTGTGGAGAATGAGGCAATATAGTGATAATACTTCTTGCTCACATACACCCGAGGGGGATATTGAACCTAGCAAATACTAAATGTATCTAAACATTCTTCTCTTTCTCTTCAACGAAATGTTCCACAAGTTAGCAAGAGAGGCTGTCTACCATAGGGCTCCTCCCTTGTACTTAAAAGGGCAGATGAAACAACACCACATTCAGCATTAAGCGACACAATTTATTACGAGCCAAAAGAACCAAAGGCTTTGAACATTTGTTTTCTGGACATAACCTTATGGCTAAGCTCTCCTTTCTATTTCAAATAAAAATTTAAATATTTATAAAAATATAAATCAAAATCAAAATCAAATGTCGATTTTCAGTCAGAAAAGCAAAAAATCTGGACAAATGGGCATGGTCGGTTTCTCCTTCTAGTGGAAGCTGGCTCACCCTGATGCTTTCTAATTGTGTTAGATTTAATGTGGCCTTGTGTGTTGAAATCTCTTCTGTGGATGGTCTACATGGAAAGAAACCAAAAGAACTTTAAAGAAAACATTTGGAACCTGGATAGTATTTGCGAGGGAATAAACATCATGGGTTCAGCTTGGTATGCACTCCCACTTTTATTACAATCTAACCATATTATTCTTTCAATCATTTGCAATCAGATTGACCTTTTTGTAAAATCTTCTAAGGTGTTGTGAGATAACTCCCTCACAATTAGTCACTTAGATTATAACAGTACACAGAACACAGAAACAAGCAACCGTTCGAGAGGGTTGCGCTCTCCCCACTAGTCTCACTCAGAGTACAAAACAAAAAGCATACCCTAACCTTGGCAGCCACAAAACATATATCCTCCCACCCCCAATCCTAGGACCACACAAAAGACAAAAGCTAAGGTCCTTCCCAAGTCACCCTCACCCTCCTAATTGTCAGAAGAGGGGGAATTACCCCCTTTGCCCCTGCGTACATAAGTATTTCTAATAGGAGGCCTAACATCACCCCCCGCGGGTCCAGACACCTTGTCCTCAAGGTGGAAGTCCGGGAATTGGAGCTTGAAAGTCTCGAGATTTTCCCAAGTGGCGTTGCCCTCATCCGTATGTTTCCAGTGCACTAGAGCTTCCAATTCTTCAGTGTCGTCATTGTGGCGAAATGCAAATACATCCTGAGGTTCAGGGAGGACTTCGAAGTCATCCGTTAGGGGTGGCACGGTTGGGCATATTTCTTTGCCTGGGCCAATGACTTTCCGCAGCTGCGACACGTGGAATACCGGGTGGATGGATGCTTCCGTTGGGAGCTCTAACTTGTAGGCGACTTTGCCAATCCGCTCCCTGATGGTAAAGGGGCCGTAGAAGCGTGGGCGCAGCTTTTCATTCTTCCGTTTAGCCATCGAACGTTGCCTGTAGGGTCGGAGTTTCAAAAAAACCTGTTCTCCCACCTCGAATTCCACCTCCCTGCGATGTGCATCCGTGTACTTCTGCATACGATCTTGGGCTAGGGTCAGGTTAGCCTTTAACTTATCCAGTGCTATATCACGCTCCTCGAGTTGTTGATCTAGCGTGGCGTTGGTTGTC